GAAAATTGAGATAAATTTTTTTATTATTGATGTTATTACGTATTGATGTTTCATTTTTCGTTTTCGGTTGGCTCAAGTGCCCTATAAAAGAATAGCATAGTCTCCAGCATCACCAAAAATCGAGAGCGTAGTCATGTGATTTTAAATGAGATAACGTTAAAATACTTATGCTTCGCACTAATGCAAATTCTGCTCCAACAGTTGAACATCGTCCCCAAGTTACCGAATAAAAATCTAATTTTCAATATAATCATATACATGCCCGGTTTTTTTTTAAAAATGAATTTCAGATACGTACCCGATTTATTTTATTTTTGTATGGTGCGGGAAATCTTAACTTGCCAATAAATTACAAAATATTTAAAGCCTTTAATAAATCGAATTTTAAAAAGATAAACTGGTAATAATGTTTAAGATATGTACTATTAACTACCAGTCAGAATTTTAATTTAAGTTTTAAATAAAAAGTTATAAGCATTTTAAATCGGGTACTTGTATGTTTTGGTCGGAATTGAAACATATCATGTGATTTTTTATCATGTGAAACTTATTTTATTGGTCAATTACAATAATACACTGCACGTGAATAATTTTTATTGGTTCAGTGTTAAGAAACATCCGCTTAATTAGCATTTATGCAAACTTTTTAAGAGTCTCTGTACATTATTGGTTGCATTATATGACATGCAATTTTACATATCATTGCTTAATGCCTGCTATATCATTGGCTGCATTATATAATATGCTATATTTACATTGCATACGCAAAATTGAACAAATTCACGTTATTGGCGAGTTAAGATTTCCCGCACCATATATAAAAATTCTTTTTTACCACTAATGCATTATTAGCTCTTCATATACCTTTATTGCTTTGATTTCTCAAGACATTGAGCCTACAACCTCCTCAAAAATCAACACATCAAACTTTGAGCATGCTTCCTTCAGAGTAGTCTTGAGCTTTTTCATGATCCTTGGGAATCTTTTACACTTTGGAATATTATTCTCCAATGACTTGCAGCCATTTCTATGAAGTTAGGTCAAAACAACACTCTAATCATTGATTTTCTCTATTTGAATCGATTTTATGGCTTCTTTTCCAAGTGTTATTTTTTTTTGAAACATTATGTTCTCTCAAATTAATGAACAAAGTGGCTCAGGATGTCTTTTTTGGCTTCTTGTATATGTGTATTTTTTCTTGATGTTAAGAGCTTATAGTTTCCCAGATGGTGGTAAATTTTCATTTTTCCTGTTCTTTGTACTTGGCAAGAGACCATTATATTATCATCGGGTTACGGCACATTTTTCTTGCAGCCTAGTGTATGTTTATGTTTAAAAGAAAAAAAAATTTAGAGTCAACAATAAAAAAAAAGGAAAAAACGCGAAGCATAATTTTTTCCATGTTGTTACACATGCAAATCGGTATGGATAACGCAAATTGTAAAATCATATCGATATCGATATTACATGTACATGTGTTATGCAATTCACGCAAATGGTAGCTTCAGAGCGAGGAAAATTTATTTTAAAACATCTACCGAAATTATTTCGCGAGTATATATGTAATATTAAGACGAATTATATAACTGATTTTTACAACCAAATTAAAAAATGAACAAGATGTGCTTCATATTCCAGGAAAGAGAATTGAATAATTATTATTCATAAGAGCAATCTTTTCAAAGGCGAAAGTTTTCCTTGTAGTCAATGCAGATTGCCGGTTGGTATCTGGACTAGTAAAGTAATAGGTGATGTCATATTTATTTAAATCAAACTAAAATCAAATACATCTTTGTTATCTTTCCTGTGATTCTGTTTTCTTACATGTATTAACCATTGGACATACGACATTATTGCTTGCTATGATGTTAATATTTTCAGGACAAGATGCATTTTTCAAATTAAAAACTTATTGAATTAAATGATTTTCAATAATCCTTATTAATGTTAATAAATATATAAATCTATAACATACTATCTAAGAAAAGTTCATGTATAATTAGCACCCTCCCCTCTCCCCCCCCCCCAATGTTCAAAGTCTATCTAAGAGAAGTCCATTATATTTACAACCCTCACCCCCCCACCATGTCCAGAATTATTTACAAACCAATAGGATGCGCGTTGTGACTAGTAGGTAAAATTTAAAGAGAAAAATGATGTGTTATATACAAAAGTTCATTATTCGAATGTTATATGCAAAGTCTATTGTACGAATGCTATACTACAAATGTCTTTTTTTGATGTTATACACAAAGTCTATTGTACGAATGCTATAATACAAAAGTCTTTTTTTTGATATTATACACAAGTCCTTTTTTTTGAATTCTAATATACAAAGTCCATTGTTTGATGTCATACAATCTTATTGTCCGAATATAATATACAAAATTCTATTGTCCGAATGTAATATACAAAGTCCATTGTTTGATGTTATACAAGCTTATTGTCCGAATGTAATACACAAAATTCTATTGTCCGAATATAATATACAAAGTCCATTGGTTGATGTTGTACAAGCATATTGTCCAAGCATATTGTCCGAATGTAATATACAAAATTCTATTGTCCGAATATAATATACAAGCATATTGTCCGAATGTAATATACAAAATTCTATTGTCCGAATATAATATACAAGCATATTTTCCGAATGTAATATACAAAATTCTATTGTCCGAATATAATATACAGGCATATTGTCCGAATGTAATATACAAAATTCTATTGTTCGAATGTAATATACAAAGAATTTTTGTTTGTATGAAAGGAATGGATGTATTGTGTTTATTATATATCAAAAGTGTATGGTACATTATGGATCCTGTCGTTGGGTGGATGCCTTTTTATATTTCTTTCAACTAACTAGCCTATATAAATAATTAGAATTGAATTGTAATACATGTATAAATAATATCAGTTTGTAAAATGTTCCCACTGATGACATCGATGATCATAGAAGGCTGTAGAAAAATTACGGGGTAGATTATTAACATGTCATGTACTATTAACTATAATTTTTTTTTTCACCGATTCATCGATGCAATGTGTTATTCGTATTAATAGCAAAAACCAATCATGGGTAAATTTTTATGTTTACGCTGAGTACATGTATTATTTAAGACAAAGATTTTCAGATAAGCATACACCCAAATTTGTCCAAAGCTGACACAGGTAGGTTTCAGGTGAGTTATGGCAAACAAATCCCTATTCAACAAATTACTAAGATTTTAATTTATCATATTTCCCCCATTCAGAACTCAGTTAATCCCCTAGCCACGGCAAAAAAAGTGTCGGGTCATGTGATTGTTTAAGGGGGTAAACCAATCAAATCGCAAGATCAACGTGTAACAGAAAAAATTCAAAACAAACGGTTTATTTTTGAAAATAGCTTGTATCTCGAAATTTTTAAATCATTTTTTTTGTTTTTTTTTGTTCTAACAAAAAACGTTTCTTGCAAAATTTTGCTTTATAGTATTTATAGTGGTGCTTTATAATGTTATACTGTTATAATGTTACGAGGAACATAATCCTAACTACAATTCTAATCCTAATCTTAATTATAATTAACAACTATTATCGTTATATTTATTATCTTGCGATTTGATTGGTTTACCCCTTAAACAATCTGATCCGACACTTTTTTTTGCCGTGGATAGGGTATTAGAACTCAGTCTGTCATTGATTCACACCATTTCCTCCTTTGAGTGGAGCATTTGCTAATCACTAACCTTGTACATTACTATTATCACTAATCAAAAAATCAAGAGGAAGATCTGAGACTTCGCCGGCCGCATCACGAATTTCTTAAAGATTTCAACATCGTTTCATAAATTTCTCACGGATTTCATCACGGCCGAGTAGTATTTTTTTGTAATGCAACTGTATATTTTGTAATATTGCGAGATGTATCTATGATTGTGTTTTTTAAGGCAGCCATCCCTTTGGTGGGAAGTTGATCTAGATCAACTTTCTGTTTAGTTTGATCTTATAATGAAACACTTGCAACTTAATTCCCTTACTTTACTCGCTTTAAAAATTCTAACTTCAGAAAAATTCGTTTGCTTTTTTCATCCGAAACTATTATAAACATTTGTAATAAGAAATTGTTGTATAGAAGTATTGATTCTAGCAAGATGATGAAAAAGTGCTATACGATTATAGGGCAACACCTGCCGGAGCGTCTTCTGTCATTCTAACATGAACGGCACCAGTTAGAATGCAAGATGGAAGCCAGTGTCCGTTACCTATGCCACTACCATAGTCTGGTATCATATGAAAAATTTATTGACATAATTTACATAACTAGGAAATGACGATAAATTTTTTTAATTGGTTTATTTATTTATAACCAGTCACGTGGTGTGACAACCGGAAGCAATCAATTTTTCACATATCTCAGAATAATATATGAATAATGACGACGTTGCTGACATTACATAATGAATTTAAAAAATTTGATGTTTCTTCAAATTTTAGTTGTGAAATATCTTGATAGTTTTTCTTTGAGCTCATATTTTTCAAGACCCTACTTCAAGTTCTTCAACTTGCTGCTGATGGATCTTTAAACTCTTTTGTTCGTCAAGCTTGATAACATCGTTTGCATGATTTATAAATTCCCATTGCTAAATTTAGATTAGAGATACGAATTCATCTTATTTTAAAGATAATCAAATATAATAAAATTAATAAGTACTTTAAAACGTAATATTTTTCACGTAACTTTATTCTTCTAAAGTAAAAATTTTACCAACCAATGAAAATTTTCTTTTTTTTAATAGTACGCAATATAAAAATAAATTTTTCATAAGGTGTTTAAGTATTAATATAAAAATATATAACGTAATTTAAAATGATAATATATTTCGCTCTCTGCTTCTAAAATATACGAGTTATTCTTTTTATTCAAAAAAATTATATTATAACGATGAATTTTTAGAATGATCCAAATAGTTGACCGCACCCCTCCCCAATAATGCATTATCATCTAAAATAATTTTGGTAATCAGGCACATGTAATTGTTCAAAAGATAGTATGAATTCTGCAAAAAACTGGACAACTTAACTGTTCAACGACAAAAGTTTTTTTGATAATCCGTTCTAAATATTGCAAAGGTTTAGGTGACATTTTTCTAGAAAATAAATATTGATTTTAATAAAAAAATGGACTTAACGAACGAACTACATGTATTATCAAAATAATTATCAATCTGCGGAACAATCCTTCAATCCCGTAGCGCATAACCCTGCCAACGAAATTATGTATTTTTAATCATAAGAACCGCACGATTTGACGAGACATGTATCCAACACATATTTTAGCACACGAATATTTCAGGGAATTACTTTTGGATGGGATTACCTTCTTTGTTATTCTGGTAGTAACAATAATCGGAAGGAAATATGCTGAAATAAATTGATTCTCACTTCGTATGGATCAGCATGTCAATCAATTCTTGACAGTAATTACAGCGATCGCAAGAGTTACTTCTACGATTGCAGGCTTCATGTTACCATCTATTTTAGCAGGAGTAATTGTATTCAACCAAGAGCCAGTATTATGTGACACAGGAAATTCACTTGATAGACTATTGGAAGCATCAATGTCGCTTAATCTACTTAGCATCATAAAATCCTGCTTAGAACCTGGAAATCTTCGAAAAATTATGTTTATAATTGCCTCAATCTTAGTGTGACAATGTGAAACATTCACAGCGGATTTATATCTGCATGCTACTGCAACCACTGCCTGGACCATTTATCAAAAGTAACAGGGCACTTGATATTGCAAATAATTGCACTGAAGATTCTTCTTATGCAGGTTCTTGTTCTTCTTATGAAACAGCAACTCTAATGGTGTAAGTAATTCAACAAAAGCATTAGAAGTGTACAAAATACTAGTAGCATTTTGCAATTATGGAACACTACAGATGACGTTTATCTTATACAATCTGCGTATCAGTGTCCTGAATCATCATGGTCAGCTTCTGGTAACATACAAAAACAGAAACAAACATTAATGTTGACCCACATAACTCCGGGATTTGTGAAGGAAGTTCATGGAAAGGCTTATGCAATTGTATTTCATTGTCAAAGGTTAACATACAGAATTGAGTACGTTATTACTCTGGGGTCATTAAAAGCCAAATTTTTATCAAACTTTACAATGCACAACTTTGGGTATCAGCGTTTCATCAGGACAATGGATGGATTTATCGAGCAATACTTGATGTTGAGAATGCAACATTAAAAGGAGAAGCCAATTACATGCATCTGCTGATCGTCTAGCACAACAATGGATGCAAGCAACTCTCGCTGCATTGAGTGATGCTGTAAAAGAAAATAGTGAAGTAAACTATGATTGTATGATGAAGTAAGTCGATAAAGATCTGACTATAGCTCCATTTTCTTCAATTTTCGTTTATCTCATAATTATTTATTTCCCCTTTTTAATATTTATTATTTTAAGTCTTTTTTATTTCTGAATTTTTTACCACACCGCAAAGATTATTATGTCATGCTTTAACTGAAAACCTTCATGCAGGCGACTTATATTTTCTACTGGTTTGAAAGAACAGGAAAATCAGTTCGCAAAGACTGAGTGTCAAATTGGTTTGATGGAAATCAATCATATATCTATTTATAATTACGTGTCGGTATCGGCATCGGCATACACTCTTCCATAAGATTCCTTCTTAAGTAGGAGCTAACGACACCATTGAAGAGAAAGTCGATCAGGCAACTCGACAAGAGGTCAGAGTAGAAATCGAAGATTTAATAGATAAAATAACGGGAAAGCGGAAATTATACCTTGTAAAAAGCCTCGTGATCGTACAGTCTCACGGTTTACTCGGTAGATTCTCTACATCCAATCCATCGGGTAACAGTAGCTACACAATCGCGCAACGTAAAAGAAAAGAAACTAGCTACACGGCCACGAAAGAAAACTAACGATCGTAAAAGCCCGATTGTTATTTGCTTTATTATTTTATTTTCATTTACCGGATTAAATATAGTACATAACGATAATGAAACTTATGCGTACCGATTAAATAATTTAAGTAACAAGCCTAGACTGACTATAACTTTCCATAAGTTCTCCTACTTGTAATCTTCGCGCTTCTGCCTCTTTTCCCGCCGGAGTCTGAGCAGGTTCGAGCGTTTCAATTATCTCGCGGTGTTCGTATATCTCAAAACCAGCCTCCGCGAATATCGACTGGAATTCTTCCCAAATATCTATCGTCAATAGTTTTACGGATCCAAAGAGGTGCTGCTGAAGGATATGTCGGCATGGGATCATATAGCGAGAAAAAATTCACAATTGCATTTTGGAGACGTTAGATTCGGTGGCGGCTTTCCTTTCGCAATCCTCAAGCTCATACCCGAGGCTTCATTCGCGATCAGCTTCTGGATTGGATATGGGAATTTGCGGACTTCTTCGAGGATCTCGT